TGTGGGCCCCTGTGTGGTCACGATTCACCAGTGAGTCTGTCTGTGCTGAGTCAGTCTGAGCTCACACCTCAGGGACGGCGAAGGGAGCTGCGGGGGAGGAGCGGTGGAAGAAAGAGAAGCATTTAGCGTTTAAGAGGGAAAACAGCAAGGGCTGGAGGGGCTGTGCTGCCCGTGAGGACCGACTGTATAAAAAATGAGACGTAATTAGTACCTCGGGGCCACACCCAGATCTAAGCCAACTGAAGCTCTTCCTCCTCAGAGTGAAGGTCAGGCTGGGCTAACAAACAGCAAACTAGATGTTGAAACGGGCAACATTTAGAGCCCCAGAGAGCCCCAAAGCAGGAGAAAGAGCCCCATCCGTCACGCAGCTGGAAGGCCCAAAGACGACAAAGGTCTCGGCCGCGTGCGTGCCTCTCTGTTCTCCCAGAGGTACCCGGACCTTCTCACCCTGCAGTTCCCCACCCATAGCACTGTGAATACTCAGTGATCAACCGACAGCCTGGTGCAGGGTTCCCAGTCTTTTCATATAAACATGAGACCCATAGGATGGGTGATATGCCTACACGCTGTATACTTCCTAAGGCACGCTCAGATTTTGACAAAGTGCCACAAAAGTGTAAGCAGGCTAGCAACTCATTGTCATCATAAACCAACAGCTTCTCTTCCCACAGGGGCCACGGATCAGTTGTAAACCCACCCGGTTCTTGCTCGTTCATTAAAGCCTTCAGGAACGTGAGTGACCAAGAGTGAGGGTGTTACAAGAGCAATACTGAATGTACTTGTCTTTGCTATGTAAAAAAGAAACCATTTGGGGCTTCCCTGGTGGCGCAGTGGTTGAGAGTCCGCCTGCCGATGCAGGGGACGCAGGTTCGTGCCCCGGTCCGGGAAGATCCCACATGCCGCAGAGCGGCTGGGCCCGTGAGCCGTGGCCGCTGAGCCTGCGCGTCCAGAGCCTGTGCTCTGCAGCGGGAGAGGCCACAACATTGAGAGGCCCGCGTACCGCAAAAAAAAAAAAAGGAACCATTCACAAATTTTGGTATTTTAGCTCTTAGTAATAGCAAGTGACCTGCCACACACTGTCGAGCTGCTCTGGACATACTGAAGGGCCATGAGATCATGGCTGAGAACCACGGTCTAGATCGGTGTTCCCGGCCCTTAGACCACAGGCCCTGGGTGGGAGGAGGGCAGCCTGGAACTACAGGAGGGGATCCAGGGATCCTAGCACTCTAAATAAAGAGCCTCAAATGCGTTCAGGTGTGTAGAAATTAATAAAATTAAAATCAATTTTAAAACTTTGCTGGACTCCTATTAGGTCTTTATCATTATGAGTTTTCTCAGTCCAGAGCCATCAGAAACACCGTCTTCACCGGGTCGGGGCTACTGTCTAGAGGAGACAGTGGAGAGGGAAGAATCAAGTTTCCAATTATACATGAAGCTTCCTATTTTTAGACAAGAAAGAGGACAAAGGGCAGCGGCAGAAAATCAGGCCAGAGTTTCTCAAAGTGAGGTCATTGGGCCACTGGCTTGGAGCTCCCCAGGAGTTGCTGGCTGAAATCTCTAGAGTGATGGGTCCTTAATGAGCTCTCCTGAGAAGGTCATCTAGGTCTGAGAATCACAGTCACTGGTCCAGAAAACGTTGTTAAAAATAGTAGCGGGATGGCGCAAAGTTTCCTCCAAGAGATTTTAAAAGAGGAGGGAGAAACAGACTTGTTTGATGGCAGGACCAGGCTGACCTGTCTCAGGGGACCAGTACGCCCACCCCCCAGCCCCTATTTTAGGCACTTTCTGGCCACTGGAGTGTATTGGAGACCAGGTTCAGGAGGGGGCCTGGGACTCCCCCACACCTGGACTCTTTGCTGTCTTCCAAAAGCCCCCAGACAGTTTGGAGACTGGAAAACAGGAAGACGATGGCCTTTGCCAAAGTAACGTCCAATTAGACCATGAAATTATTCTGTTTACGGGTTTTATGGAGATCCGAAAATGCCACTAATCCTTCTTGTGGAGGGGCTTCAGGAAGCTCGCTGATAAAGATAGACTTAAAAATGGCTTCCTGGCAATAGTTTCAGATTAGAAATAGATAAATTGTTGATTAGAAACAGAATGAATGTGAAGTCTCTTCAAGATGCCATGAGAATATCTGGGAGCAAAATTCTTTTCTATAGGAATTGAAAAAACAAAGACAAAGCCCCAAGCGTGTGGACTTTTGAGAATTACTTAAGAGGCACCTGAAACTCCAAATTAAAAATAGCTTTGGCTGACCCAGGAGGAGCAAGAAGAATCAGTCAAAATCCTTTACGTCTTGTCTCTGGAGACAGACAAGAGAGTTTAGCCATCAGCCCTGCAGCCCACAGTCACGGTCGAGGCACAGAGCCTTGTGATCCCAGCTTCACCCCTGAGCAGCTTTGCGACCCTGGGCAAGCGACTGAACTCCCTCAGTCTTCTCATCTGGAAAATGGGACTAATGATAACAGCGCCCTCTCTTACAGATGATGGTGAAGATTTACAGGTCAGACGCGGGCGAGCACTGGGGTCAGGCTGTCTCGCACAGACCAAGAGATGATGCACATTCACCAGGACTGTCGTGATGTTTCTACTGCTTTCATTTTGAACCGAGGATTTTCTGTGGCGTCAAGATATTCAGACACTGAGGAAGAGCTCCTTCCGGGGGCAGGGGCGAGGCAAGTGTTGCCCAGGAGTATCCAACTTGGGGATTTAACTCCTGCCTGTACTTTGAGTCTGTCTTCTGACCTTGAGGCTTCCCCAGGGATGCTCTCCTGTCCCCAGCTTCCCAAGGCAGATGTCGCCCCTGCCTATTTTGCCAGCTCATTCCATTCTGTCTTAGATTTTCCTTTCATTGTCTCCCAGGAGCAGACTCCGTCTCCCCAGCTGGACTGTCCGCTTCTCCCAGGTTCAGCCCACACCATGCAGCCCGATTCCTGCCTCTCAGAGCTGGACAGACAGTGTGTACATGGCAGACGACCAAATACAGCACAGTGTGTGTGTGTGTGTGTGTGTGTCACCATTAGCTCTTTCCTCCCTCTTCCTTCTCCTGATAATGACAACAGTTACAATCAGAGTCACAGCGAACGCTCGGTTACCAAGAATCTTCTATGCCTGGCACTGAACTCAACTCTTTAAATGCCTCTTCTCACCCTAACCCTCAACGAACCCACGGGAGCAGGTGTGTTTGGGGCAGGGGGGCTGCTGAGGGAACTGGGAAGAGAACAGTCACACCCAGGTGCCCTGCAGCCCCCCACCACCCCCGCAAGTTTGGAGCACTCTGTGCAGAGACAGTTAGGTCCAGGGCCTGGCACGGATGGTACCAACCCCACTCTTCCCAGCAGGATCTCACTGACGCCCAGTCTCCCCGCATCAGACTCTAGGGTGGGAGGCTTGTCCTTCTGGATGCACAGTTGGAACCCCTCCCCTCAGGTGCTTCTGACGTGCCCCTCCAAGAAAGACCACAGCCCATGGTGAGAAATACATATTATACTGCGACCCAGGCACGATCCCGGGGATTTTTGTGAAACGTGTTTACATTCACGTGAGGCACTCCGATGTTTTCCACCCTATTTCATTCTTCCATTAAAAACGACAATGAGGAGAAATTGGAACCCATATACATCGCCGGTAGGAATGTAAAGTGGTCCAGTCTCTTTGGGAAACAGTTTGGCACTTCCTGAAAACCTTAACTACAGACTTATCACGTGACCTAGAAATTCTGCTCCTTGTATCCAAGAGACGGGAAAACATACGTCCACACGAAAACCTGAACACGATGCTTCCTAGTGGATCATTCACGGGAACCAAAAGGCAGACATAAACCAGATGCCCACCAGCAGGTGGACGAATAAACAAAATGTGATGTCTATCCGTAGAGTGGAATACAGCTCAGCCATGAAAAAGAAATTAGAGTGGAATACAGCTCAGCCATGAAAAAGGAATTAGAGTGGAATACAGCTCAGCCACGAAAAAGGAATTAGAGTGGAATACAGCTCAGCCACGAAAAAGGAATTAGAGTGGAATACAGCTCAGCCACGAAAAAGGAATTAGAGTGGAATACAGCTCAGCCATGAAAAAGGAATGAAGCGCCGATCTCTGGACAACATGGGGGAGACCTGAAACCATCAGGCCAGGTGGAAGAGGCTGGTCACAAAGCAGCACAGGTCGTACGGACATGAACTGTCCAGAGAGGGCAGGTCTGCAGAGATGGAGGCAAGGCGGTGATGGGTGCTGGAGGGGAGGGTGGAGGAGGGAAGAGGGGGCGTGGGGTCTTCTTTTGGGGGATGGAAACGCGCTAAAACGGGACTATGGTGTTGGCTGCGAAACTGCAAATACATAAAAACCTCCTGAACTGGACACTTTAAAGAGTGAATTACATAGTATGTGGATTATCTCTCAATAAAAATGATGGTCGTGATCCAATAAGCTGGTCTCACCACCCAGAATGGGTCACAACATGGTGGAAACTTGCTGTCCTGGAGTGGCTGCCCGTCCCCGCCCCGCCTGTCTCGAGGGAGTTTGGGGGCCGCGGCCTTTGGGTGGGTGGCGGGTGGCGGGTGGAAGGGGCGTGTCAAGGCCCCGTGGCTGCCTTTCATACCGCACATGCTCAGCAAAGGCCCAGCTACAAAAGCAGTTTCCCTCTCCAGGGGCCGGGCGGCCCCAAGAGCTGAGCTATAGGTGAGATTCCGGGGGAGCCCGGAAAGGAGCCGACAGCCCCTTCTCCTGCCTCGAGCCCACAGGTGAGGGCTCGGCCTCCGGAAGCCGCCTGTGACCTCGGTGGAGGGCAGGCCCGGGGCTGGTGAAGCAGGGACAGAGGAGCCTGGGTCCCCGATGCCCGTGGAGGCCCCACGGCTGCCACCCCTGCACTGTCTGTATGAGCAGCCAAAGGACCCTCTAAAGGAAGCGCCATCTGGCGAATACGCGTGCCCAGGACAGATCCTCCAGGACACAGCGGCTCCCCTCCCCTGGGTCCCCGGGGGGAGTGACGGGCCACGCACCTCGTGATCTTGAATATCCTCAGGAGGCGCACGCATCTCAGCACGGAGATGCCCAGGGGCGACATGATCCTGGTCTCCACCAGGATGGTCTCCAGGATGCCGCCACACACGATGAAGCAGTCGAAGCGGTTGAACAGGGACACGAAGTAGGCCTGCAGCCCCAGGCTGTACGTCTTGAGCAGCATCTCCGCCGTGAACAGGGCCAGCAGCGCCTTGTTGGCTGTGTCTGCGGGGACCCGCACGGGGGACAGGAGGGGGAGAGGAGGTGAGCGTGGCGGATCCCTGCGGGGAAACCCCAAAGCTCGAGCCCGCCACACACCCCTTGCTGCGTGGACTTGGTGGGGAGGGGTCTAGTTACAACCGCAGCAGACCTCCAGCACGGCCCCGAACCCCCGCATCCTCTCACAGCGACTCTGCCAGGCCGCGGGGCTGCTGCCACGCCCCTTTTCCAGAGACGAGAAGTGAGGCTCGAGGGGGAGCCATCTGCCTAGACTGACCAGCCAAGAGCCGGAGCCGGGGTCTTTGTCTGCCCTTGTCACCGGGAGACGAGCCCCATCTGGGTTCCGGGAGACACCCTGGGTCCAGGCCGTGTTCGCCTGACCCCCGGGTCGGTACCGGGGCTCTGGCCAGGGAGATCCCTTCCGGGGCCCAGGGAGGGGTGGTGGGACCCACTGCCATCGAGGACATTCCCTGTGCCCAGGCCACACTCGTCCTCTCCCTGGCTTTGTGCTCTCCGCCCCTCACAGGTTTTGGCCAGCACACCTGGAGGCCATACTGAGGCCCCAGGTACTGAAAACCCACTGGGGGTGGAGGGGCGGCAGCCAAAGATCTGATGTAGCCCAACAAGCCACAGCTCGTGACCGTGTCTCCTGGACCCAGTGGTGATGGCCGGGGCAGGCAGGGGGGTGTTGCCTGGCCAGGGGAGCCCCGTCTGTGTGGAGTGAGCTGGTGCGTTTTAGCGGCTCATAAGCTGCCAGGCCGCGGTGTGTCCGGCGCGGCCCGCTTCCCTGCCCCGGCGCAGGGCCGAGTCAGCCCGAGTAACGCAGGCCGGCCGGGCGGCCTCTCACCTTGGACTTCCGTGAGCCAGTGGGGCTGGTTGTAGTGCTCAGAGGCGATGGTGAGCGTGTTGAGGAAAACCAGGAAGATGACAAGCCAGTAGAAGACGCTCGACTTCACGGCCGCGCGGCATTTCCTCCTGCAGAACCGATTCCAGCGGCGCCAGTAGCGGCTGCAAAGGGGCAGAGAAGGAGGACGGGGCGGGAGGCGGCTGTGAATTCAGGTCCCCGGCCGACATGCCCCAAGGTGGCCACCTCCCTCCCCTGAACTGGCCCGACCTCACCAGGGCCGAAGAGACGAGCATCCCACCAAGGTCACCGGCTCGTGGCTGGTGGTGCGGCCTTTGGGGGGGGGGGGTCCCTGCTCCTCTGGGACTGTGGCACCCTGGCCTGTGACCCCGAGCAAGGCCAGCCTTGTGTGAGGGTCTGGCCTGAAGCTGAAGGGAGGTTATTTAATTTCATAGTAACAGCATCACTAGAAGTATTGCAAGTCGTAAGACTAGTATTACTAGGACTAGTAATGGTTACCATTAGCAAACTCCATGTCTGGCTGGTACCATATTGGCACTTCTCATGCCTTCTCCCAGATCCTTTAAACATGTCTGCAAAGCAGGCGTTGTCCCGATTTTCAGGAGAAAACCAAGGACCCTGGAGTTGGGCGTCTGGACTGACACCGGGTGAGGGCAGAGCCAGCAGCGTCCCCTCTTCCCGCCTGCAGCCCAGGCGCCAGGCGCTCCCCTAGCTGCCTCATCCGTGAAGAGTGGGAGGTGAATCTGGACCAGCGGTGCTTGACTTGAAGGGGAGGCTGTGGAGTCCTTTAAGATTACATCCTCTGTTCAGAACAACGGGCAGACTGCCCCCACCTCTACACGCAAGTTCACGCCATACGTGGGCCCTGAAAGCTCATCCATGGGCCGCGGGACACTTGCCCACATGGCCTCTGGTTAGGGACTTTCATCAAACCTGGCTGTACATAGAACCACCTGGGGAAAGTTTAAAAAACACAACAAAAACACACCAGGCCCCGGGCCCCAACCCAATGAAATCTGATTGTCTGGGGTTGAGTAATTTTTAAATAACCCCCAAATACCGTTGCTGTTTGCTAAGGTTCCCCAGATGGTTCTCATGTGTAACCATGGTTGACAACCATGAAGCCGGATGACCCCAAGGAAACGCTCACATTTTAGGATTCAGTGGTGGACGGGTTTACAGCTTGTCCCCAATTTCATCCTCCTGATACCGAGAGAATATGCAGATATATTTGGTAATTCCGTTGACCAAACAGTTACCAGTTTAACACCATGTGAGGAGCGAAGGACAGGGGTGCCAGGGAGACTGTGGGGGCCCTGTATCGAGAGGGGATCTGATTCCAGAAAACCAAACACAACGAGAGCAGCCACACGGTCAACGTCCAGCTGGGGGACGGTAAGAGGGGTGCCGTGGCCAGCGTCGGGCTGGAGGTGATGGAGGCAACAGCTTTACTCAAGGAAGGAGGAGGGTGAGGTGACGTGGACTTTGGAGGCGGAGTCAGCAGGCCTTTGACCCTGACCACGAGTGCAGGGGAGAGAGAAAGGGTGGAGGGGTGTCTGGAGGAGGCCCTGTCACCAGCACGGGCACCCTGTGGAGGGGGACTCGGCCGGAAAACACCTTGAGGTACTTGCAGGTTGTGTCCGTAGGGACACCCACCGGGCGGCTGAGGACAGAGCCCCCGCTTTGGGACAGAAGGCGGGGTGGTGGTGGTGATGGCTGTCGTCCTGGACACCTGTACTCATATCTACATGAAGTCGCAGGTCCCCAGGTCCCCAGGCTCAAGACTCTGTTGTTAGGACCCTCCACACGCCCCAGACGGCCCTCTGGAGAGCTTGACTTTATTTATATTTCTACTCTGTTATTTTTGTTACCTACGGCCCGTGGGAAATCCTGCTGCCACACCATTGTTGAAATCTGCTCTGAGATTAGAAAGCGAGGGGCACATCTAAGGCGGGCCTTGCTGCCTGGGAGCTGCAGGAGGACCTGGCTTTGGCTTGCAGGGCAGGGAGGGAAGAAAGGATTAAGGGGGTGGTGTTCTGACCTGACCTCACCCCCGTCACTGAGGGGGAGGGGAAGCCACCTCCAGGGAGCGCCAAACCTTGGCAGGGACGTTTGCTGCTACTGGTGGGGAAAGTCGCTACATGGAGAAGAAAGGCCTGGGGGTCAGAAGACGGTGGTTCCCAATGCACTGTGGAGGCTTCCATGCTCCAGACACACCACCGGGCGACAGCAGGGGTGGCGGAGGGCGCAGGGGGGACAAGGCAATGGGACAGGGGCCCAGGTGGTCCCTAGCCGGGGGGCGGCCTCCGGCGGTGCTGGACCACGGTGCTCAGGCACCTGCTCTCGTCAGGGCGGGACTCTGCTTCTCTCCTGCGATCGAGCTTGGTGATATTGCAGACAAAGTTGGTAAGACTTTTTATTCCCCCTGAAAAACGAGTTTTCAGGACAAACTCATATCCAGTCTTAAATAGCGTCAGCTACCAATTGGCCCTTGCCCTCTTCCTCTACGAGGATTAAATCACGAGCCACTGCAGGTGCTGACCTTCGACACCCCTGAAAGGAGCTCAGGGCAGAGGCCAGGAATGAGGCCCTCTGTGCTCCGGGAAAAACTAACTCCTCTTATTTACAAAAACACTAAGATCCTTCACGGTGACGTCTGCTGCCCGTGACTAGCAGAAACCTTCACGAGACGAGCAGAAACCTTCTGCAGAAAATATGTGCTGGATTCTATGTACTCCCCCTTCAAAAAAATCACATATGTACTGACTTTCCCCCTGCCTCTTTGGAGCAGTTTCTCAGAGCTCTCCGAGATGCTGTTTCCCGGGCTGTAGTCCTCATTTTGCCCCGAATAAGACTTAACTCACAACCCTCACATTGTGCATTTTTTTAAGTCGGCAATAGGTTACACTGTAGTTGCAAAGAATGTTTTGAATAGAGACAAGCTCATTTACAAAAGTCACCAATAATTGTGATTCGGAGGCCAAAGGAATCACGGTTGATTTCTTCCACATTTTGGAGGAACCGACTCCAACTCTGTCTCACACCCAGAACTTGACTGCGCTCTTCCCCAAGTTTGGGGCTGGTGGATGCGGGTGCCACATGCCCGGGGTCTGGAGCTGCTCTGCTGGAGGCCCTGCAGCTGCAGCTGTGACGGACGGGGCGGCACCTGTGGAATCGTGCGCTCCCGAGACAGCCACTCAGGAGAGTCACGTGGGTTCGGGCCGGGGCGGGGGTGGAGTAATTACCATCCAGAGAAAGTATTTAAAGATAATGACACGCCTCCCACCCTTCAAAATACAGCTTTGCTCGACAACTGGTGTCCTGGCAACGCTTCCTACTGCACAATAAATGCAATGGTTTATTAGAATGTGTAAGTGCATTTATGTGTTTACATATACACGGAGGATATAGAAATTAAACGATAAAACAGGGAGGAGGAATTTGCCTGCTATTCACGTTCCCTTCACTCTCACTGGGAAAGTTGTTCCCTCGAGAAGTGGAACTTCCCGGACACAGACCTGGAGGTGACGGTGGGCACGGACATGTCTCTCGCACGTCTTCAAACCCGTGTGTCGCTGCATTCCCACCGGACAGCTCTGCTCGCTCGCCTGGACCCACCTGACCCCTTCCCAGCACTGGCCCGGCTCCTACCTTTCCATCGACACGGCTGTCCCCCCACCAAGCCCCCCTTCTGGGTCCCCCCCTTGCTTTAGGGCTCAGTGGGGGCCCCAGCTTCCCAGCGGTGCACTTTTCTAGACGTCCCAGCTGCCAAGTTCCAGTCACACTTACTGTCCGTGTTGCTCACTTAGCTACACATTCAAGAAACATCTATTGAAACATCTTCCCCAAGCCAAGTACTAGCTATTCAGCTTAACAAACAGACGGGAAACTCGGGTCGGTGATACAGACCCCAAGGGTGCCGCACGCCAGGCGGGCTTAGTAGAGGTGCCCCAGGGGCACGCAGAAGGGCATCCCAGCCCACCGTGGGGTGCCAGCCAGCCTCCCCAGAGGATGCGATGCTCCGTTTCCTGTAGGTCAGCATCTTTACTGTGTGACTCCACTGAGATCGCAGGGTCCTGAGGGGAAGGGGCTGCATCCTGTCCTTTGTGATGGGCTCACAGCCCACCACTGTGGTCTTACACAGTAGGACCACTGGGCCGGCAGGCAGGTAGGGCAGCAGAGACAAACTTTACACACACTTACTCACTCCGCGCTGTGGACGGGGCTTAGGAACCCGCGGATGGGGTCGGGAGGAGGCAGTGCTCCTGAAGGAGTTTGCTTGGCACAGAATTTTGGACAAGCATCTAGAACAGGAGACAGCACCCAAATGGTGGACACTTGGGGCTCTTTCCAGTGGCCAGAGCTGAGAACAAGCAACCCAGAAAATCCTTAACATTTAACTATTTTACACAAAAGTAACCAAAAAATGGGTTATTAGCGACTGGGGAAATTTGGGCATGCGCCTTATTGCTTATGGGATGGCAGTGGTAAAGGGACCTCGGAGGCACGTTTCTCTGAAGACGGGCGAGACAGAGCTCCCAACCTCAGACCCCCGAGGGCTTCACTTCAGACCGCTGTGACGTCCAGATCCAAGCCCCAACATGTTATCTGCCTAATCCCTTCACGCTGCGGAAGGTGCTCAGGATCGTTTGTTCCGTAACTAAGTCCTATTCTGAGCCCCAAATGTTGCCAAGTTCCTTATTCCTCAAAGTAGAGACTTGGCTTACCAAGGGAACACCCTAATATTGCCCTAATATTACAAGTCCATTAATTTGCCCAAATTTCCCTAAAACCTCTGCTCTAATATTTCCTTTAAAGACTCTGTGACTTTGTATCACCGTCTTGCAAATGGAATAGGCCAGTTTGAGGCTCAAATTCTATTATTTGTCATTGTTAAGCTGAGAGAATGAGTGAGAATACTTGGTGTGTGTGTGTTTAACTCCAATTTTAGATTCTTTTCTAGGGTAAAACAGGCTCTTCGCTGTTTACGAGGTTACTTCTGAGTTGCCGAAATTCTCTCTCCGTTTCCCCTGTGTTACTGTGTTTTTCTCCTGCGCCTCCTATACCCGTGTGAGCTGCCACAATCAGACAGACAGAAGGGCTGAGGACACTGTTCCTGCGTCTGCAGCGGACCGAGTTTTCTCAGGGCCGACCTTGGTGATTTCGATGGCATTTTCAACCCATCGCCAGCCTTTGTTATTCCCTAAACAGACGCCACCACTGGACTGCAGGGTGTAGGTGAGTCAGCTGCCATCTGACCCTGTGGGGTCACACTGTCCAGTGTGGTCGCCACTGGCCACCTGTGGCTACTGCGCACATGAAACGTGGCCAGTCCAAACTGGGCGTGCAGCGAGCGTAAATGACACACTGGATTTCAAAGAAAAATTAATATAAAATATGTCATTCGTTTTTTATATTAATTACATATTGAAATAACGTTTTTGACGCGTTGGCTTAAATAAACCATATTAAGATGAATTTCACCTGTTCCTTTTCACTTTTTTAACATGGCTACTAGAAAGTTTTACAAAGGGTGTAAGTGTCCGGCATTGTGTTTCTAACTCAACAGCTGTGCCCTGGAGCGCCCCCGACCCCTCGCTGCAGCCCCTAGACACACAGCTGGGCAGAAACGGCTTCGGATGCCTGGGCAGGACTTCATCACATGGTGCAGAGCCCGGGTCCTGGGCGTGGGTCCTGACTTGGCCAAGCGTGAGCCACGTGGCCCCGGGCCTCTGTCAGCCTCAGTATCCCCCTCTGAAAATGGGTTTACTGATGGTGCCAACTGACTAGTAATAAGCCTTCTGGGAATGAATACAGAATCTTCTCCGTGCATTTCTGTTGTATCTTGAGTAGTAGCTGCAGGGGGAGGAGCCCTTCCCAGAGGGGGATCTGGTACCAGCAGGGTGAGCCACGTCTCAAAACCGAGCAGAGTCCAGGGGTCCAGGTGGACCCCCGTGCCCCCTCTTCTTCCAGAGCACAGCTTACACCCTAGAGCACTGGATACAAAACGCCCCCCGTCTCCTGGGTCATCTCATGCTGGAGCGAGTCCAGGCAAGTCTGTGATTTCTCTCCCACCCCCCAGAGCACGTTTGTTTATTCATTCACTCACGCGTTCATTTGTTCATTTATGAGTCGCCCATTTTCATGTAATGAGAATGATGTTTTGGAAATATTTTCAAATGTATTTTTATGCCCCTTCACTCTCTCCCTGCATGGGGGCCTTGGAACTGCAGAAGCACGAAGTGCCTTCTCAGCTTTGGCTGTAAAACAGAGCTTTCATTTCAGTCTGCGTCAAGCCTAATGCCATGCGGGGGCAGGACGATCCATTCGTCCCTCCACTTAGTATCTATTAAGGCCCCAGTAAGCGCCAGCCGCTTCTCCAGACGCTGGAGAGAAAGCAGTAAGGTCCGAGCGCTACGGAGACAAAGGATTTTCTACATTTCTTGAGCTCTCTCCTGTAACAAGAGCTGGACCTGGGAGACTTGACCCTAGGTTTTTTATGTGAAGGAGGTCTTGGCTTCAGAGGAAGTGGAAGGGGAGAAAGCCTGCATTTTCCAGCCCCAGTGGAACATGGGAGCAGAAGGTGACAGCAGGAGAGGAGAGGGTCCCACACCAGCATCCTCATTTAATTCTCTGGCTGAGCGTCAAGCTCTAGAAACAGCCAGATAGTCACGGGGAGGCCAGGACATCAGGGCTGAAGGTGCCTCTCCTGGGTGTAGCACAGGGTCTGCGGGGCCCTGGGGGACGCCAGCCTTCGGCCTAGAGCTCTTCCCAGGCAGGCACAGAGCAGGACAGGCGGCCGGCACGTAGGTGAGCATCCAGTTCCCGCAGCCTGTCCACGGAGGGCCTGGAGGTGTCCATGGGCTCAAAGAGCCTGGGGACCAGAGGCAACGATTTCAAGGCCAGAGGCAAACATGGGGCCCGCGGACACCGTGGGTGGAGGCCCAACCAGATGGACTTGTGGCCCCTCGGCAGGCCCGGTTCTAGAGGAACAAGCAGGGGTCTCGGGCTGGACCCCAGGACCCGTCCTCACTGAGGCCTGGGTACTCCCGGGGTCTTGAAGTCCTGGCCCCGCTTCTCCACCCTGGAGAAGAGCTGGGCAGAGGAAAGAAGAGAACTGAACATGTAGCTTAAGGGACAGTTTAAAAGGCAGCCTTGGGCTACACTGCTCGGCTGGACTACAATTTAATGTTATTTATGCACCTGCCCCAGGTGAGGCAGGGGAAGCAGGATTAGATCAATGATGAAACCTAAACACTATAGTTTTTCGCTCGTACAGGCTTTGTGGGAGCGAATTCCCACCCCTACTCACATATCTGTCCATCAGTGCACACGGTGGACAGGCTGCTACCCGCCGGGCGCCCGGCTCAGCTCCCTGCAAATAGCACCTCGGAGGCTCACAGAGCCTATTGCAGACGCGGGAGCCCGCGTGGGGAGGGCGGTACAGAGGTCTGAGCAAAGCGCTGGGGGGAGGGAGGGGAGTCTGCAGAAGGTGTGGAGATGCGGTACCAGCGAGGTTCTGAACAGGAGCCCGAACTCTCCGGGGGAGGCTCGGGGACGCGGCGATTCGGACGGAAGGAGGGCTCCACGCAGAAGCCTGGACGTGCAAGAGGACGGGGGACGTTCAGGAACCGCGGGATGCGCAGTCGGCGGGGCTGGAGGGGCAGACAGGGCGAGGACGGCACACCGAGGAAGGTTCTGAAGCAGCAGCGTCGAACCCGCGTGCCCTCACCTTCCGTGAACATGGCCGAGAACAGCAGCAAGTGGCCATGTGGCGCTTACTTCAACCGGACTTCATCTTATAAGGGAGGGGGACACAGCATCTCGCAACCTCCTAGGGCCAGTGCCACCAAAATCACTAACTCGCCAAACCCCAAGCCCCGAGCCACTCGCCTGGTCTGATCCACGAGCCTCTTCCTGAGAGCCGTGCAGAAGGAAAGCAGACCCTCCGCTGACCCTCCCTCAGCCCCCAGCCGGGGGTGTCCCCAGCCCAGCAGGAAAGGAGCATCTCACTCACCTGAACTTCGACTTGGAGATCCTGTGGCTGAAAGGGAAAGAGGAGACATTACCAAACGACACACACGTTTCCCTCTTTTCTCAGACGTCCCCAGGTGACCACACGGGCGCTGGACGGAGCAGCTTCGGAGAGACAGCCCTGTGGTCAGCACGTCCTGGTGTCTGTGTGTTTGAAGGGGAGACCGAGGGCTGGCCCAGCCCACAAACCTACGAATCTAGCATTTTCTATGTGGAGACGTGGCCCCCGGAGACGGTGCTGTGTTCTCAGACCGTCAGCTGGGGTCAGGCAGCGGGTTGGGGGCCACGCCCTGAGAACAGTCGTGGAGGACAGGAGCCCCTCCTGCAGACGTGGCCCTCGGACATTGCAGGCGGGAACAGGCTGGCAGAGGCCCAGCGCTGTCTGAACAGGAGCCTGGCCCCATCACCACCTGGCCTGAGCGTGGAGCCTGGGCCCAAGGAAACAGGCCGGGGCTGAGAACAGACCCCGGATGCTCGCAGTGGTGTGCAGCCCTAAAGACCTGGGGACTCGTGGACAGAAGCACCGGTGGGTGGGCTGGTGGCTGACTCGAGGAGCATCTCCGGGGAAGGGGGGAGGTACTGAAAGGTGGAAACTTCCAGGAGGCCCTGCGGCCCGTGGGAGGCTGGATGGAGCCGGGCGGGGGGCAGAGATCATGCAGGCATCTGAGATGGCCCTGTGGAAGGCCACACGTCGGGAAGGCCCTGGTGTCCGGGGAGTGAGTGCTGGCAGGGCCGCGGGTGGGAGACCGTGCTCGGACGGGCAGGCAGGTGCGGAGCGCTGGTCAGAGATGAAGAGGGGACAAAATCCGCCTGTCCCAGCTCAGCACAGAGAGAGCTCTGCTGCGAAGCAAGAAAACAGCCCCTCTTGCTATTTTTCATAAAAAAAAATAAGCCAGAAGATGTGACAGGTGGCAGAGCCATCGTGCGTGAGGTAATTATGTCTCTGGGGCACTGAGAACCAGAGCCAGGAGCCTTTACTGCTCCGAGCCAGCTGATAACCTTTCCCACCCAAAGACGCTGCGAGGGCTGCAGGGTTTCAATCACGTTACACGGCACGTGGGCAGAGGCCGGGGCCACGGGTGGCATCTTACTTAGGGCCACAGTTTAAAGGAAAAACAAATGTCTTCCAGCTACGCCTGGATGGTGGGGAGCCGGGGGGCTCCCTCCTCTAGCCCAGCCAGGCTTGCTGGACAGCTGACCCCTCACTGAGGGACATGAGCTAGCATGGGTGGTCATCAGCCCGGCAGCTCTGCCACAGGGCCTGGCCCGGCCCCGCCTTCTCTCGGAGATTTCCAGAGCCTCTCGGGGGCTCTTCAGTGCAGACCACACGCCCTCCCTATAAATCTCCCTCTCAGTCCGGTGGGTCGTCAGCAAAGGTGGGTTCTTAAGAAGTCCCGTGTGGGGCACTGAGGTCTGAGTGTCCGCATCTCCTAGGCAGTGACTCTGGGACGCGGCGCGGGAGGACCAGGGCTCCTGTTGGGGATGACGTCCTGGGTAAGCGTGGTCACTGGCTGTGGCTCCTTCCTGGGTGTTCTGGAATGTTCTGAGGCGGAGGAAATGGAGTGGGACTTTCTCTACCCTGTAGTTATGTGTTCTGACGTGCGAGCCTGGACGCCACACTGAAGCCTGATTGCTGTTACTGCTCTCAGGTTGTGAGCATCGTTCCAGGCTCGCTGGGTCCAAAGCACTCACCCCCTCCAAGCTCTGTGTTACTGGAGCACCCCAGGTAAGAAGGGGGTCCTCGGGGGCACATGTCTGGAGACAAAGGGAAGCCCAGGTATGGGAGAGCGGAGGGCCTCACACTCCCCGTGTAGGAGGGGTCAGTGCACTTCCTGGGACCAGGGGCACCCGGTCTCTGCAGCCTTCGGGTCCTGGGAGGTGACCACCAGCTCGGGGTTTGGAGAGCTGGTCATGCCGCCGGTGGGCAGGGGAGCCGGGAGCCTGCGGGCGCCGTGTCCGCCGCCCCAGCCCTGCGTTCCGGCCGGGTGGCGGGTGCTGCCCCCTGGATCCCAGTGAGTCCACAACACCGGGGGGCCTGGCTGCTCCAGACCCTGCTGGGGACCAGCCTGCTCAGAAGGCGTGAGGGCTCCCCTCAGTTACTGCTCTACAAGGTAGGATTTCCTCCCCATGTTTCCCGTGGATTCTTGAAGAGCAGCAGGTACAGAAAGTGGGTAACTCGCATGTAAGGCCGCGAGCGCAGCCCTGCTGGGTGGACCTGACTCTTGTCCAGCCCAGCTGCCTCTTTCCCTCAGGCCTCCACAACCAACCTCCCAGGAAACCGCGGTTGTCTTTGCTGATGTGAAGGTTTAAAACGGGAGACACGCCTGGAACTCCCTCTGCTTCACTCAGTTACTCAGTTTGCATTTGTCATTATTGGACAAATATTTGAACTTCTTGGGAGCTACTTGTATGTTTAGCCTTTCCGCTTCTTAGAGTCGTAAGGCCGTATGTTTTCTCCCTGCCGTGTGACACAGCGATTCCCCGAATCCTCCCGATTCTCCCTAATGTCGGTCAGATGGCGCTGCAGGCACCATCTAGGCTGACGCACGTCTGAGGCAATGTCCTTGACTCCATGCACGGCTGGTGTGGCCAGAGGGGCCGGACCCTGGACCCCCATCACAGTCCACCTCTTGGGGACCCACTAGCTTGAACCTCCCGTGCTATCCGGGGACCCCTAGCTCACTTCTGTGACGAGATGCACGCCCATCGGTATCATCGACCCTCTGCGTCGGATCCCGTTTCTGACTCTACCTTCTTTATAGAACTGTGGGCTTTGAGACTAAAGGGACCTCGCACACACCAGCTGGATTGGGGTCTGCCATTTTACAAGGTGCAGCCTGCCTCACTCACGGGGCCTCTCCTGCAGAAGCCACAGGCACAGAAGAGGTGCAGGGGGTCCCCGCAGGTGGTCCCCAGGCCCCTCTAGGAGCCAACGGGCAGACGCCCTGCACGTCCCAGGAGGCGAGCCTGAGGTTGCCGCCCGGGCCCAGATCTGGGACTCCTGGTGCACGGCTCTCTTCCCTCCTTTGGTCCATCCCAGAGTACCGGGCACTTCTTTCTGTGGAAGTCCGTGTGTCCCTCTCTGACGCCAGCTGCGCCCTAGTCTCAGGCAATGTTGTCCCGTAAGTGCCAGTCTCCTTCATGGGCTTCTCGTCTTGAAGATGGTCCTGCCTCCGCTCTGAGGAAAGGCGAGGCCCAGCAGCTCCAGGATCACTGCCTTTCCCTGTCCACGGCCTCACGTCTGGAGGGAAGGTCCCCTGCGGCCCGCTCCCTCCCCGCCTGCCCCGAGGCTCCAGCTCCTGCAATTAGGACACACAGAGAATGCATCCCTTTTCCATCTCAGCACATGACCCTGGCCTGAGCCGCGTCAGCATCACCCCCAGAGCTGCTACGGCAGCCGCTTTGCTCGAGTGCCCGCCGCTCGGGGCTTCTCGCTCCCGCACAGACTCTTCCTAATGTCCGAGGATCCTCAAGGATGGAAAGCTCACCAAACCAACCAGCTATGTTCCACGATTTCTCATGGTCTGTGACAAAGACCAAGGCCATCAAGGGTCTACCCGGCCCTGCTCCGTCTCCAGCCCCGCCCCTTCCCATCCAGGCCTGCCCTGGACGCGACTGCCTTCTCTCCCTCATCCCCCCAGCGGCCTCGGAACCCGCTGTTGCCTCTGATTGGAAGATCCTTCCTTCCTCCGCCCCCTCCAGTTCTCAGCTCAAACTTTCCTTCTTCAAAGCTTTCCCTAAGCTGCCAGTCTAAGGCGTCTCTGCACCACTGACCCTGCATTACAGCCACGCCACCTTCTGAACGCTTTTCCCAAGTGATGGCTCCGTGTCACTTTCACACCAGATTGTGAGCTCCAGGGAGATGGTGTCACCTTGCTCTCGGGCTCTGTGTCACCTTGGCCCAGCACCGAGCGGGCTTGCTGCCTGATGAGGGTGTGAACGGAGAGCCCGGGCTTGATGCTCCTCTCCTGGTGGCCTCCGGGCTTGTGCTTGTCTGTTCTCCTGGCACCTTTTCATCTGTACCTTCTTCTTTTCCTTCTGCGCGTCGGTTTCCCAGCCTTCAGCCCTGGCCTCTGCCCCTGTGGACAACCCCGGTGCCGCGTGACCGCATCTATCGCTTCTACGCTGGGGTCTCCAGCACGTGGTCCAGAGCAGAGCCCCGGCCTCCACACCCTGCAGCCCCGCTGGTGACTTCAGTCTGTATCGCTTCTGTCTTCAGACTTGAAGGACAGTTCCTTCCCCTCACCACCTCCCCCGCCCGGCTGCCCCCTCCCCAGCAAAACATCATTTTTCGGGCTCTGTCTGTCTGCCGTGTCCCCTCGGAACCATCTTCAGCCAGGCCTCATCCCGCTGCATGGGCCGTTCGCTCTCCGCTTCAGAAACGCTAGCCTCTCCCTGGTTGTCACAGCCTGAGCCTCAGCCCCCGCCCGTTCACGCTGCTTCCCCACCAGGAACGCTGGCGGTCTTCTTCCATCGTTGTCTGGGACGGGGCGGGGAAAGACGGTAGTTTGTTAAGGACATACTGCCATCCCGGCACTGCGACAAGGCACTTTATCCGCAGAGTAGGTGTGTAAATTCAGATATTCGTGGGGAGGGCGGTCCATTTCCACCGAGCCCTGGACGCCTGCAGAGCACGTCCTCCAGATGCCTCCTCCCTCTGTGGGAACGTGCCTCCTTACAACATGGCCTCGAGCTCCCAAAACACTCTCCAGTGACTGAGCGCCAGCGCCGCGGCCTCTCCGGGTCTGTCACGTGGGCCCAGAGCCAGAGGGCGGGGTCCTCGTCACCTTCCCTCCGACCCTTTGGGGACCTGCCATCCACCTTCTCTAGCGTGGCCGCCCGGGGCCAACGTCCAGAATCCCGAGCGTTTGTTTGTATGGTTCCCACAGGAGGTAAGAGGGAAGGGCTCAGCCCGCTGCTTCAACGTAATTAGCACTGTATTTTAACAACACGTTGACAACAATTGCTTCCCAACGATGCTGGGAATCAGCAGTGCAGACTCCCTGGTGCCGCCGTCAGGGTGAGGGATGGTGAGGCCCATGTGCCCTGGAAACAGTCTGCTCCGGCCCTCCCGCCCCCTCCCTCGGAGGCTGGCCCGGCTCAGGTTAGATGTACCCAAACCTTCTGAAAAGGCCCAGATACGGAGGCATCTTGGCGGGGAGAGGTGAGCTAGGAGCCGTTCCACCGACGGAGCGACTCAGACGCCCAGCCACCTCGGGGCTGGTCCTCCTCCGAGCCCTCTGTGCACCGGCCCTTTCGGTTTCTGGGGTGAGTCTTACATCTCCCAGGCACCGGGACAAGCAGCTCCCACTTCCCACCGTGGAGTCTGGAAGCTGCAGGAGGCCTGACACTCAAGGTTAGCCTGACCCCTAAAGGAACATGGCTTCAATCTGTGGACTCTGGGAATGAAACCAGCAGTTTGCTCATTCTTAGCAGTTAAACCATTTTCCCTTCATTTCTTGGTGTGGGGACATCTCCCAGGGACCGCTGGTGTCCGTTTTTAAGATGGAGCTAAGACGGATGGATGATGGTGATAACCCACGTGGGCTGTCCCTCCGCACACCTGGCCCAGTCCTGGGCCCCAGTCAGCTCAGGAAGCCGGGGGCTGGGGCTTGTGTTGGGGAGGGTCGCTGGGCTGGCACAGGTGCACTTTTATTAGCTGAGTCTGCACTTCAGACACCTGTGCTCCCTTCACTGGGTGGGTAACTCAGAGCTGCAGGTAAGACCCATGTCTCCCGGCGTATTTTCTTGCCTGTCTGCTTTTCTTCCAGGTCACATTTATCAGAAATGAAAGGGTGCTTAGCAGGACCCAGGGAACCTAACAAAGCTGCTCTGGTGAGAGGGGTGAGGGGCTGGGAAGAAACAGACTTCAAAGCCCCCCAACCCCCCCCATACATACATACACACACACACACACACACATATAAACACACACACACACACACATACACGCACATACACACATATACACACACACGCACACACACGCAGACACACATACACATACACACATACACACATACACATACACGCACACACACATACACACATATACACTCACGCACACATATATACACATATACACACACATACACACACATATACACACATACACATACACACATATACACATACACACATATACACACACACGCACACACACACACACGCGCGCACACACACATGCACACACACACGCACCCCTCTGATGGGATGGAAACGGGCTCAAAATCCCAAAGTCAGACCCTGCCCGGGAAGCACAGGATTGCAGAGCAGCTCCCAGCCAGGGCCACACTGCCCCCAGGGCTCCCCTCTCGGTTTCTCTGCCCGCTCCCACCCCCCGCGCCTACTCACGCCAGCCTGGCCCCGCAGCTCTCTCCCTCGATGTCGCCTCCAGCCACGTTTTCCGTGTTGACAGACTCGGTCTCACTGGTGGGCATGCTCACTGCAGGGTTGGGTCAAAGGGATGCAGAGCGAGGCGCGGAGGCAAGAGGGGAGAGAACGGTTAGTCTGCAGCCCCCCGGCCGGGTCCCATGTCCTCGACTGACATGCCCGCTGCTCGTCTAGGGTGACCCTTGCCACCCAGGACACTCTAAGTGGGAGAGTGGGAGGAGACGCCTGGGAACACTGACCTGAGTCCCTCCTCTACCCTCGACCCCCTGCCCTCGGACAAGCTGCACATGCTTTCCCATTTGCGTCTGCTCCTCGCTGTAAAAAGAATTGCTTTCATGACGGTATTTTATTTTTCTTATTTCTTTCCAACCCCCTCCCCATTCTAAGGGGCTTCATCCCCACACTTAGGGCCCAGCCTGTCTGTGGAAAGGCTTCTCTAGGGGGTGAGCCACTTGATGGATCTGGAGGAGGGTCTGTCCCTCGTCCTGAGTCCTGCATGTTGGGTCCTGAGGACAGAGCCTGAAATAGAGCTCAAAGGGAACAGCCATTTCCAGCATCCCACACAGGATTCAGGTCAGCACCGCAGACACAGGAATGAGGAGTCTCTGTGTGGGAGCCACCAAACTACTGAGATGAGACGTGGCCTGAAGACAGACGGCAAGAAAACCACCTCCCCACGGCATCCTGATGTTTCCATGTCAACAGGCCAAGCTGGGACACAACTATGGCCGACCTGCCCATGCCGTCACCAGGCTCTTCCTGGATTTCCAGGGCAGCCAGAGCTTTCTAGCTTGGAGCCCAGTCTGGTGGCTTAGAAGAAGCCATTTCCTTTATTATTATCTTTTATTCCAAATAAAAGTTTATCTCAAAAGAATTCTTCTCCTTTTTCATCTTCTATGGCCCTTTTAACACGACACACAAGGAGTTCCTTATTTTTCCCGCCCTTGTCCTTTAGAATAGCCGTCACATCCTCGGTCATGGCTCAGCCCTGCTTGCAGGTCAGCAGCCCTCATCTGGCGGGCAGGTCAGGAGCCCTCAGTGGCCACAGAACTTGCATGAGTGAGGGTGTGGCATCCGGTGACATGGGACCAGTGACAAGTGCCCCCGGGGCTGCCACAGCCCAAGAACTGATCACGCTGTTCGGATAATTCTACCGGTGGTACGGATGCTGCTGGATGTGGGGCGTCCCCGGTTTCTTTTCTTTTGGATGAAGTCAAGTCGGGCAGGTGTGAGAGACTCATTCTGAGAATGTGGGAGACACAGCCGGAAAGCCCACGGCTTCCCACACGCTGGACTGTCCTGTGTCCACCCTCGACTCGTTCTCCATAAACTTGGGTGAAAACAAATCCAGACATCATTTCAAGGAAGCCTGGTGCTGGATGGACTTTGGACATCGCCCAGCTTTCTCGTCACAGGACAGGGAAGTGAGGTCCAGGGAAGGGCCAGGTGCCCGGGTCACACAGTGGTTGGGGGCTCGGACCGGAACACAGGTGTCTTGGGCCCCCACCCCGTGCTCACCTCGATGGACCCCGGGGTTACGCCCCAGACGAGATGGGATTCCTACAGCCGATCAGGCTCTGGGGGCATCACAGGTGCATGGGGAGCAGGCAGACGGTGGCACCTTCAGTGACCTTAACCTTGGCCGGCGCTCTTCACAGGAAAGGCCCCAACAGGGCTCAGCCACCGCTGGTTGTCATGTCTGCTGACTTTATACATTTGAAGGGACAAGGAGGTGGTGGCTTTGGGTGGGACAAGCTATCCTCCCCTCGCACACGCGCACGCACACCAGGAGAAGCGCGCTCCCGCCCTACCCCGTGGGCACCAGCACATAATTTACACGCACGGGGGCATGGGGGACGTCACAATGGGTTTCTGGGGGGCGATTAGACCAAGCGAACTCCCTTTCCTTCTAATCAAGCAAGCCCTCCGGGCGCTTCCTCTCACAGACAAGATATCAGAGTAGAAAACCAGGAGTAAGACGTGGACAGAGCTCAGGGTCAGCCTCAGGCAAAGAAAGAAACAGGGGACTTGGCGACCGCACAGAGGACGTTCCGCTAACCTCCAAAAACAAACTAAGAGATAGTAAAAATTGATAAATCAAAACAGGTAAGAACACAGAACAAAATAGGACCCAAACCCCAAATCACATGAATTAACAACACAAAATAAACAACGGATCCTGGGGAGAAGGGGTCACTCCCGCAGAAGCGTCTACACTGGCAGGTGGGTACTGATTTTGAGGAGACGGATACCCAGGAGGGTCCCAACTCATCCCTACTTGTTAGTGGGAATCCCGAAGATTTGGTCATGAGAGGAAAGGGTCAGGCTTGTTTTCACGCCACGTAAACAGCCGTCTCCGAAGCACGCTTATCTTCACAGTTCAAAGCTTGAAGCAACATGGATGGACCTGGAGGGTGTTATGCCCAGTGAAATAAGTCAGAGAAAGACAAACACCGTATGACATCACCTATACGTGGAATCTAAAAAACAGAGCAAACTAGTGACTATGACAAAAAAGAAGCAGACCCACAGATACAGAGAACAAACTAGTGGTTACCTGTGGGGAGAGGGAAGCGGGGAGAGGGGAGATAGGGGGAGGGGGCTAACAGGTACCAACCACTATGCATAAAATAAATAAGCTACAAGGCTATATTGTACAGCACAGGGAATACAGCCAGTACTTTATAATAACTTTAAATGGAATATAGTCTATACAAATATTGAATCTCTATATTGGACACCTGAAACTAATATGATATTGTAAAGCAACTATACTTTAATAAAAAAAGAAAACCGTTTAAAACAATGCTTCGCACACCAAAAAAACCCAAAACCAAAAACAACCAACACAAAGCTTGGAATAAAGAGAAACTTTACAACCAGTATCATTATTTGTTCACTTCTCAAAATTCCTACACGAAAACAGGGCTGAGAGTTAAAGGGTTGAAATGGATGACTTAGCAAATTTCCCTTCTAGAAAGACACGTGTCAGTTTAGAATGACAAGGGTCACTCGGGTGAGCGTCTCATCGTGAGGGGTCTTTGATTTGGCAGTGGGCGGGGTAACGGGCTGCCAGCCTCCAAGTCTGTCTGTCCACACAGACGCCTGAGGGGACAGTCCTGGCCGGCGGGGGCCCAGGTCACTGACCTGCTACAGAAAAGCTCATCCAGCTTCTGGCTTTGGCATCGATACTGTCCCATCTTGTTTGACTTCAGAAATAGCTATGTGATCACTTTAAAAATACTAGAAAGAGCTTGATAAAAACACGGCCTTTCCCTCTATAACTGAACTTGACCAGGCCTGGTGAGTCACGCGGGCACAGGCGGCAGCCGCCCACGTGGAACGTGGTCGGAAGAGCCTCCAGTCATGCCCTTGATGGGGGGCAGGAGTCTCTGGGGAGCTGCTCTTTGGGGTCAAGGTGTGGATTTACAGGCCTTGCTTTAAGTCACAGTTTACACCCACATAGTGGCTCCTATTAATTTGTGTAGCTTATCCCACAGGCACCTGATGGGGTGAAGATGGTCTGTGTTTCTGTTTCTAAGGGGTTAGACACAGGCCACAGCTGACTCGTTTAGGGACTTGTTACCCTAGAGATCGCCTTGGGTTCATCTTGGAAACTGAGAGTCCAGGCCGGCCAAGGCTGGGATTGCTAATGCTGGGCCCTATTCTTGGGGAGGCAGCAAGCCTGAGTCTCCCACTGGCCACTCAGATGACCGGTGGGTTGGAAACTGAGGCAGAAAGATGGCAGAGAATCCAGGGGCCAGGGCGCACCTTTCCTGTAAAGAAAGGCCTCTGAGGAATGAAATGTGCTGTTGAGTGGACTCGGGAAGGATGCTGAGGGGAGGCTAGTTTCCTGACTTTCTAACCTCACCGTTACCAGGGACTGTGGGTCAAATGTTGGGTCTCTGGGCTGTCCTGTCCCTCGGCTTCTGCTGAGCAGATTCCGAAAGAAAACGAGATTCTCATGAAAGAGTAATTAACAGCTACCACTGCAGGTGGCGGAAACATAATTACATTTTTAGGAACATCAGTGAGCCGTACGGACTCCATCTTGCCAAGAACGGATTCTCCCTCCAAACTTCCACTCCTGGGGGCAACTTGCTCGAACGGCGCTTAGTAGGACCACGTTTCTGCATCTCAAGGGAGGTGCACAGTTCTCATTTCCCAGGAACTGATGACGTCCCAGGTCTGCTAGAGAGCAGTTGTGTGGGTCCTGGGCGGGCTGGTTGTAATAAGCCACTTCTACCACAGGATGATCTCAGACTGGAAACTACATGAACCGTGCTGGGAGTGCACGGGACCCAAGTGGTCGTGGAGACTGGTGTCCTCTGGAGCACTGGGGTTCGTGAGCCCCCTGTGGGTTGACTCATTACATCTGGGGACCCCCTGTCACACCAGCTACCGCCCTACCCTCTGCCTCAGACCTTTCTGTGCAACGGGACTGCCTAGACGGCCTCAGGGCAAAGCTCCAGGTGAGAGATCGAGGGGCGGACGTGGGCGGACGTGGGCAGGCCTGCGAGTCTGGAGCCTTCCGTCACCATGCCAGCCTGCCTTTGTCTGTGGGCTGGGGCAGCAGGAGCAGCCGGAGCAGCCGGCCTCTCCTGGGACTGGCTGAGAGCAGTGCCCAGACCTGAGCTGGGAGCCTCACCATCGGGTGGAGGAATCCTCCAGGAGGCTCTTGGTGGAAGAGGCCTGGGGGCGCAGGGCCAGGCATCCCGGGGGTGTCAGGGGCCGGAGGAACTGAGGGCGTTTCTCAGCCAACCTGAACTTGCATTTCTCCAGGTCCGGCCCAACTGCCAATCCTGGGCGGGCCCGATGGCAGGATCTAGTCGCCAGCCTCCTACGAACTCACAGATGGAGCTAGAGAACTGACTTTGCCACTTACTTGGCCAGACACCCGTTTTATCATCTTTTCCGCATACAAGTGGTCGGATTAGTATTCTTTTTCCGAAAGTACTAATCCAAGTTATGGTTAACAAGCAAAGGAGTCCTCATTTCCTGCCTTGCTGACTCCAACCTGGAATCCCAAACCCCCGTAATCGGGCTCCATCC